GATTGGAAGACTTTAATTTGCATACTGTCAAATCCTGGAGCTTTGTTTTTCATTATGCCTTTAGTGCAGCTTGAATTTCTTCAATTGGTATGAACAACTTTTGATCATATGCTCCTTCTTGAAATGGTTGAGCATAGATGAATTATTTTTGGTACAGTGACTGTATATTGTTTTCATCTTTTTTTGATGATTTCTGCATCAATGGTTCATATGAAAGTTCAGGCTGATGATGAAGAAAATTGAAACAACTCCAGGAGAGCCAAACTATGGCCTTGAATATATTTCACCTGAATTTAGAGACCATCTCAAAAGCATTTTTGATGCATTAGACAATAATAACAGAACAAATACCAGGAGAGTTGTGTGATGATATCAAGAGCATCATACAGGAAGAAAGCAAAAGTTTATATATATATATATATACAGGAAAGAAAGAAAAGGCAAAAATTGATGTCAGAAGAGACTATGAAACTTGCTCTTGAGTGTAGAGAAGTGGAAATGAATGGAACAAATGAAGAAGTAAAAGAGATGTACAGAATATTTCAAGAGCAGTTAGAGAAGACAAAGTATCATAATGAAATGTGCAAAGACCTATTACTACTATCATATACTCATGTTTTTTATTGACCATCTGCCTACCTATTTTCTTCACTGAAGAGGATGCACACTTTGATTGTTTTTTTTGTTTTCTTTTCATACTTTGGTTTTTGATTAGTATAGTGTTTAGCAATTCATCTTAAAAGTTTAATTCTGTGAGCATGACAAAAGTCCAAAATGTGACTATATTGCATAGGAGATCTGTTCTTAGAATTGCTGTTGTTAAGTGCCATGAGTCAGTTCCAAGTCTTAGCAACCCTGTATAGGGCTTCCAAGGAGCAGATGGTGGGATTGGACCAGCAACCCTGCCGTTCAAACTGATTTTCAGCCCAGTGCTTATCCCATAGTGCCATACCAATGTGTCTTATTAATGATGTTTAAATGAAGTTATAGTGGGAATCCCACAATGACTTCCTTATTATAATTAGACAATGCACACATATACTGGAAATGTATAACAAAACTAGAGAGAAGGGTATAAAAGACTCAATGGCAGGGAAGGTATTTTGAGTTTATCTGAATTTATCTCACAGAGAGAAGGAAAAAGAGAGAAACATTAAATCATGTGTGCTTGAAAGATATATCAATAAACCCTGGATCAAAACACTAAACAATACTTACAACTCACACAAACAGACTGATTCTGTAAATTCCATTCTAAATTGAAGAGCAGATTTTTGCAGGCTATGAGAGGGAATTCTTTTCTAAATTACCGGGTAATTTTCTCCACTCCAATTGAGCTATATAATCAGACGTGGTCAAAATATTGTACTAGGAAGCATAATAGAAAATGAATTCAACAAAACCATGACTTCATGAACCTGCAGCTGCAGAAAGAGGTCAGAAATGAAAATAGAAAACTAATGAGCTGACTTCCATTAGGTTTTTGTTTTTTTAAAAAAATCATTATTATACTATATTTATGGAGCCTTCCAATTATTGTAAAAATAAAAATATATTTTGAATTATAAATTTTACCATATTAGACCCTCTGATAATCTGTGATGTACAGATGACACAACCTTGTTGCTGATTGGCAAGAAGACTTGAAGCATTTACTGATGAAGATCAAAGACTACAGTCTTTAGTATGAATTATATTCCACAAAAGGAAAGCTTAAATCTTCACAGCTGGATCAATAAGCAGCATCATGATAAATTAAAAAAGGCTGAAGTTGTCAAGATAGAATTTCAGTTGGATCCATAGCCAATTTCTCTGGCAGTAGCAGTCAAGAAATCAAAGACATATTGCATTGGGCAAATCTGCTGCAAAAGACCTCTTGAATGTAATAAAAAGCAAAGATAATACCTTAAGGACTAAAGTGTGCCTGACCCAAATCACAGTATTTTCAATAACTTTATAGGGATACAAAAGCTGGACAATGAATAAAAATGACCTAAAAAGAATTGGTACCGTTGAATCAAGAAATCTGCCTTGAATAAATACAACAAGAATGTTCCTTAAAAGCAAGACTTGTGTGATTCCATCTCACATATTTTGGGCAACTCATCAGAAAGGACCAGTCCCTGAAGAATGGCAACATGCTTGTAAAGTAGAGTTAAAAGTGTAAGACCCTAATGAGGTGAAGTCACACTGTGGCTGCAACAGTGGACTCAAAATAGTAACAACTTTGAGGATGGTATAGCACTTAGAAGTGTCTCTTCTGCTGTACATAAAGTCACTGTGAGTTAGAATGGACTCCATGGAACCTAACAACAATGGTGGTTGGTGACTATGTGCCGTGGAGTTGGTTCTGACTCATAATGATCCTGTATAGGGTTTCTGAGGCTGTGAATCATTATGAGAGCAGAAAGCCTCATCTTTCTCCCATGGAACCACTGGTAGTTTTAAACTGCTGACCATGAGATTAGCAGCCTGACTTGAAACTACAACTAGAGCTCCTTAACAGTAAGAATACACCAATGCAAATTTGAGTTCATAGTGATATATGCTTTCTATATTCTTATATCTCATTTTCAATGTTCATTATACCCAAATAAAGCTCATGAAACAAAGAATTTCTATAGCCACATGTCCTTCATAGTGAAGGATTAAGTTTTGCTTCCCACCTAAGCTTGAAATGGACCTACCACTTTCCTCGAGATTTGACTTGATATCAACTGTTTATTTCTTAAATGAAAGCATACAATAAATAAAATAAAAAAAGAGCAGCTGAACTTTAGAAAAAGTGTATGTGTATTCCAATGCAAATCAAGTATACAATTTTTGGTTGTTGTTCACAATGTTTTTTATTCCTAATCTTTGGTTCTTTGTGATAGGTGAGCTCTCCTGTTTTGGCTTGCGGATATATAAGAGAATTCCCAATTAAACCCCTGTACAGTCTTTTAGAAGGCTGGAAGACATAAAAAATAGTGTTCAGAAAGATTAATATCCTTGACATTAGTGAGCTGAAATTGATTAATATTGCAATTTTGAATGGACAGTCATACGGTATACTATGCCAATAAAGAACATTTCAAGCTAAAATACAACACTGTGATAGGAGGATATTTGTACACCTGTAAGGAGCTCTGGTAACGTAGTGGTTACGAATTGGGCTGCGAACCTTAAGGTCAGCGGTTTGAAACTACCAGCCGCTCCACGGGAGAAAGATGAGGCTTTCTACTCCCGTAAAGATTTACACCCTCGGAAACCCTGTGCAGGGTCGCTATGGGTCGGAATTGACTCGATGGCACTTAACAACAACAACAACAAGGAAGATGCACTAATTTGACTGTTATTCAAATTTGCACACCAGCCATTAATACCAAAAATGAAGAAATTCAGGAATTCTACCAACTTCTGAAGTCTGAAATTGAGTAAAAATGCAATCAGAATTCATTGATAATGACTGGTGATTAGAATGTGAAAGTTGGAAACAAGAAGAATAGGTAATTAGAAAATATATCCTTAATGATAGAAACAATGCCAGAGATGGCATGATAGGATTTTCAATATCATGTTTGGTAAGGTGGAGGGTCAGAGGACAAGAGGAAGACCCCCAATGAGATGGATTGGCCAAGTGGCAGCATCGATGGACTCAAGCGTGGCAACAGTAGTGAGGTTAGCCCAGGATCAGGCAGTGTTTCATTCTGCTGTGCGTAAGGTTGCTATGGGTCGGTACTGACTCGATGGCACCTAAAAGCAACAAAAGCAACAACAACGACTTATCCATTGCAAATACTTTTTTACCAACATAAATGGCAATTATATATGTAGACCTTACCAGATGGAATAAAATAAAATATATCTGTGTGAATGTGTGGTGTAGTCGTTGTTGTCAGGTGCCATCGAGTCGGAACCAACTCATAGCGACCCCATGGACAGCAGAACGAAACAATGTCCGATCCTGGCCCAACCTCACTACCACTGCCACATTTGATGCCATCAATGATGCCACCTGGCTGATCCATCTCGTTGGGGGTCTTCCTCTTTTTCTCTGACCCTCCATCTTACCCAGCATGACATCCTTCTCCAGCGACTGTTCCCTCCTGACAATATGTCCAAAGTATGAGAGACGAAGTTTAGCCATCTTGGCCTCCAAGGAGCACTCTGGCTGCACTTCTTCCAAAACAGATCTATTGGTTCTTTTGACAGTCCATGGCACTTTTAGTATTCTCCTCCAACACCACAATTCAAAGGCATCAATTCTTCTACGGTCTTCCTTTTCACTGTCCAGCTTTCACATCCATGATAGAATGCGTGATAGATATGCTAAATAACATCAGTCAGAAAAAGGCCAGGAGATAACAGAAGATTGATCATTAATTGCTCATAGGAAGTTCAAGTTGAAATTGATGAAAATTAAAACAAGTCCTGGATGGCCAAAGTATGACCCTAAGAATATTCCACCTGAATTTAGAGACCATCCCAGATATATTTGACACACTGCAACTAGATGACTAGTTGAGTTGGGAGATGACATCAGGAATGTCACACGTGAAGAAACCCAAAGGTCATAAAAAGAAAAAAAGAAAAGCCAAAATGGATAATGGAAGAGACTCTGAAACTTGCTCTTAAACATAGAATAGGAAGAAATGACATAAAAGAGCTGAACAAAAGATTGCAAGGAGCAATGCAAGAAGACAAAGTAAAGAAATATACTAAAATGTCAAAGAACCAGAGCTAGAAAACCAAAAGGGAAGTGCACACTTGGCATTCATGAAGCTGAAAGAATTGAAGAAAAATATTAAGCCTTGAATTACAACTCTCAGTAAAATGACACTATAAGGTAAGCATTGGACAGTAAGATCTGTTTGAACCACAAGGTCCATTCTTCACAGTAATCAGTCACTCCTTGATAACCCTATACAGGTAGCATATGATTAAGAATTGTATTAGCAAAAGACAAGACTCCAGGAATTGACAGAATACCAATTGAGATGATTCAACAAAGGGATGCAATGCCGGATGTGCTCACCATCTATACAAAGAAATTTAGGAGACAGGTGGTACAAAAAATGCAGGTATTAATGAATATTATCATTAATTTCATGCACAAGTAAAATTATGCTGAATATATTTTTAAAATGTTGCAGTAGTACATCAACAAGGAACTCTCAGATATTCAAACTGGATTCAAAAGAGGACATGGAATGAGGGGTATTATTGTTAATAACAGATGAACCTTGGCTAAAAGCAGAAAATGTCACAAATATGTATATATATATATATTACTTTGACAAGGCATTGACCTGTATGAAACATAACAAATTATAGATAACAATGTGAGGAGTGGAAATTCCAGAACACTTACTTGTGCTCATGAGAAAATTACACAGACTGAAAAGCCATAGAAAAGCCATAGTTCAAATAGAACAGGGGTTGCTGCTTAGCTTGTATTTCTTGTGGATATATATACAAAGTAGAGGGATTTCCAACTTTCTGAGGAAATGCCATGCTGTTTTCCACCATGCTGGAAGCATTTTACAGTCCCATCAACCTACACATCCTCACTAGCATTTGTTGTTTTCTGTTTTGTTTATTTTTAACTTTGTTATTAATGCTGGAGTGCAATGATATCTCATTTTTGTTTTGATTTGCACCTCTCTAATGGCTGATGATTATGAACATTTCTTCATCTTTGTTGGCTGCCTGAATAGCTATCTTGGTGAAGTATCTATTCATATCATCTGCCCATTTTTTAATTGGGTTATTTGCTTTTTTCTTGTAGAGTTGTTCTAGTTTTCTATAAATTTTAGAGATTAATCCTTTTCTGATATGTCATTGCAAAAAAAAAATTTTTTTCCCCAGTTTGTGGACTCTCTTTTGGCAAAATTTTTGATGCACATAAGTATTTAATTTTTAGAAGGTCCCAGTCATTTATTTTGTCTTCTACTATTTGTGCATTTTAAATAATGTTTCACAGTGTATTTATGCCATGTATGAGAGCCCCTAAATTTGTACATGTGCTTTTTCATTGATGATCTTTATAGTTCTAAGTTTTACATTTAGAAGTTTAGTACACACTGAGTTTGTTTTTGTGTGAGATATGGATCTTTTTTCATTCTTCTGCAAATGGATTTCAAGTTTGCCAGCACCATTTGTTGAAAAGTTTATCTCTATCACACTTAATGTGGTTTGGCCTTTTGTCAGAGATCAGCTGACTGTATGCAAATTGATTTACTGCTGGATTCTCAATTCTGTTCCATTGATCTTTCAATATACCAGTAACAGACTGTTTTGACCACTGTGACTGTGTACATTTTGAGATTAGGGAGTGAGAGGTCACTGATTTTGTTCTTCTTCATAAGCAATGCTTTGCTTATCTAAGTTCTCTTTTCCTTTCCATGAAAACGTAGTGATTAGTTTTTCCATCACTTTTAAAACCTACTTTGGAATCTGGATTAGAATTTTATTATATCAATAAATTGCTTGGCGTACTGTTGACATTTTCACATTAATAAATCTACCTATTCATGATAACGATATATTCTTCCATTTTTGTTAAGTCTCTTTTAGTTTCATGTAGTAGTGTTTTGTAGTTTTCTTGGTATAGGTTTTTTATTTCTTAGATTAGATTTATTCCTAAGTATTTCATCTTTTGGGTGGCTGTTCTATATGACATTATTTTCCAATGAATTTAAATATTTTTCTTGCTGAGTCTTTGGGATTTTCCATGTATAGGATCATATCATCTGCAAATACAGAATGTTTTACTTTTTGTTTTCCAATTTAGATGCCTTCAATTTCCCTTTCTTGCCTTATAGCTTGCCTAAGACTTCCAAAACAATATTGAAAGGAATGTTGATAGAGGGCATCCTTGTCTGAATCCTGTTCCCAATGGAATGTTTTCAGTTTCTCTCAATTGAGAATAATGTTGGCTGTTGGATTTGTATAAATATGCTCATAACTATGTTGAAGAATTTTCCTTCTATTTCTAATCTGTTGAGTGTTCTTATCAGGAATGGATGTTGGAGTTTGTCAATACCTTTTCTGCATCAATATGACCATGTCTCTCCCCCCCCCCCGCTTTTTATTTATGATGGATTACATTGGTTGTTTTTCTAATATGGAAACATCCTTGCATTCTTGATATGAATGCCACTTGGTCACGATACATTGATTTTTTGATATGTTGTTGAATTTATTAACTAGAATTGTATTAAGAATTTTTGCATCTAGGTTCATAAGGGATATTGGTCTACAATTTTATTTTTAAGTGATGTCTTTGTCTGGTTTGGGCATGAGGTTTCTGCCCACTTCATAAAATTTATTCAGCAGTTTTCTATCCTTTTCTATATTCAGGAGTAGTCTGAGTAGAATTGGTACTGAATGTTTGGTAGAATTCACCAATTCTCTTCTCTAAATGTTTGGTAGAATTCACCAGTAAATCCAGTTGGGCCATGAAATTTCCAGTTGGGAGCTTTTAAATATTTTTTTCAAGTTTTTATTGTGGATTGAGTAATAGTTTACATGGGAGAACACTGGCTTTACACCATCGTATCATTTCATTGCAATGATTACAATCTCTTCCATACATCCTCATTCAACAGTATTTGCTTCTATTCTCTGTTTTTTTTTTTTTTTTTTTTTTCGGGGGGATGCACAAGAAAAACGTGGCATCAGGATTGGAGGAAGACTCATTAATACCCTGTGATATGCAGATTGTACAACCTTGCTTGCTAAAAATGAGGATACTATAAAATACTTACTGATGTAGATCAAAGACCACAGCCTTTGGTCTGGATTGCATCTTAATGTAAAGAAAACAAAAAATCCTCACCACTGGACCCAATAAACAACATTCTTATCAACGGAGAAAAGATTGAAGTTGCTAAGGACTTCATTCTTCTTGGATCAACTATAAACCTCATGGAAGCAGCAGTCAAGAAATCAGATGATGTATTTATTGCATTAGGCAAATCTGCTGCACAAGACCTTTTTAAAGTGTTGCAGAGCAAAGATGTCAGCTTGAGGATTAAGGTGTGCCTGACCCAAGCCATGGTATTTTTAATAACCTCATATGCATGCAAAAGCTGGACAGTGAATAAGGAAGACCATAGAAGAACTGATGCTTTTGAGTTATGGTGTTGGAGGAGAATTTTGAAAGTGCCATGGGCTGCCAAAAGAACAAACAGATCTGTGTTGGAAGAAGTGTAGCCAGAGTGCTCCTTGGTGGCCAGAATGGCCAAACTTTGTCTCTCATACTTCGGATGTATTGTCAGGAGAGACTAGTCACTGGAGAAGGATATCATGTTTGGTAAGGTGGAGGGACAGAGACAAAGAGGAAGATCCCCAGAGAGATGGATTGGCAAAAATGCAGCATCACTAGGCTCAAGCGTGGCAACAGTTGTGAGGTTGGCCCAGGACCTGGCGGTGTTTTGTTCTGTTGTGCATAGGGACGCTATGAGTTGTATCAACTGGATGACACCTGACATCAACAACAACAACACAAAAACACTCAGGAATACATAATAATTTGAACAACCAAAGGGCACATTCTATAAGCCTGCCTCCTGGTTGCCAGCACTCAGTCTTTCTCTTTCCATGAGTCTAGAATCCTCAGCTGCTCTATTTCTCCATGCCCTTATCTCTGCCTCCAACTCTAGTGCCACTGCTTCTCTGGATAAGGTCCCGCATTCTGCTCATTCTCTTATCCCTTGATGGTCCTCGGGTCCTCTGTTTCTGGACTACAAGATTAACTACTCCTCTTTTTTTGTTATAAAACTACTACCTTTACAGTTGTGATAGTCTCAATTAGTCATGATAACAATTGCTCACTGTTGAATCATAAGACTCTTATCCCATCTCCTTTTACCAGACACATCTAGACAAAATTAAAACTATTCAGTGGAGACTTTACCCTCCCCTGCATACTCTGAAACTAAACTCACTCTTAAAAACTTGTAAACCAGTCACTTTGTGCCTATAGCCCTCTCATTTTAGGTAGCCAATCTCTAGGTTGCCTGTCCCTATCTACCCTGTATGCACAGGAGATAGGATTGATACTTGATATGAAGACTCCTTCCCTTTCCATTGGTAATTAGAGCTATTACATCCAGAAGTATAGATCAAGTTCATCAAATTGTAGCATTTTACACTTGTTTCTTTTCTCAAAAATTGTTTTGTTTGTTTGTTTGTTTGTTTGTTTCTTCCTCCAGTGGAGTTCTGATTAATCAAGCCATTGAGGTTAGATCAAAGGGGTGCTATCTGCAAGTTTGGGCGTTTTTCTGTGTCTCCCCTCACTTCATATCACCTGGTTGCTTCACTCTCAGCTCTTGCCCTCCGTGACTATGTCCTTGTCCATGGGCTCAGGAGTCCCCTAGGTCTCACCATACTTTGTCCTTCCACTTTACCAAACTTTATGTCCTTCTCCAGGGATTGGTCCTTCTTGACAATATATCTGAAGTATGAAAGATGACCATAATGGCTTCTTAGGCACATTCTGGATGGATGAATATTGGGAATTATGATTACAGAAAGTTAGACCATTCCTGTCACCATGGCCACTTTGTTCATGAGCCCATTGGGCAATGACAGTAGTGGTTGAAGAAAGAGGATGATGAGTTTCCATAGAACATGTCATCCTGTTCACTTGATTTTTATAATCCTCTACTGCCTTGGTAACTCTTTGGTGTTCATTCACATGAGACAAAGATATCTTCACTTTTTTAGGTCCATTCAGAGAGCTCTATCCCCATACCTCTTCCCCATACTTCTTTATTTTCCCATCATGTACCTGCTAAGCCCCAGACTATCCAGCCAAACCATTGACCACAGCCCATGAATCTGTATATAGTCACACATCTGGACATGTCTCTTTCTAAACAAAATGAATAACGAGCTGCTCTGCTCAAAGTTCTGCACTTTGGGAGGATTTCCCTTCAGATTTCCTAGAAAAGGCCTGTTGTGCTGCTGTTGTCCATTTAGAGTGGTGCATGCATTCCATGCAGAACCATCTGTAAACCAAGCGTGAATTGTCTCTTCCTCAGGCAACTCCCTATAGGTGTAGACTTTGATAGGT